CCTACGGAGGCGAGTTTTCCGGGGCGAATCTTCCGGAGGTGAATTTGTTGGGGTCGAATTGACTTGGGGGTGAATTTACCGGGGCGAGTCTTCCGGGGCGAATGTACCGCATACCGCATAGGTACGTGTACATACGACGTAAATTATGCAATTTTAATCATTCAAAAAGAATATTTGGTCCATTGCAAAAGTACTTCCAATCATCCATTAAAAGACGTGTTCTGAATGAATTAAATGCACATAAACAGTCGTGCAAACAATTCTGTCTTGTCTCACCATGACATGACATGGTGAGTCGGAGTAAGTACTTAAATAATTGTGTGAATAATGAATAAATAATTAATATTAATTTGGTGTCGTTACAACAAGGGCGCTAAAACATTTTTATCTTCTGGGACACTGACAAAGCAACAGCCAGTAATTTATTTTAAGCCCAGTTAATCATCCCCATCAATTTCCTGCAACAGACGTAGTTGTTTAACGATAAAGAATTTGTTTTAAGGTAATAATTTAGTGAAGGTATGTGAAAGTTATCGGGGGGAAAAGGTGTAATAAACAATTTTTGTCAACCCGCGCCCGATAAGTCTCCGGAAATGCGCTCCCCCAAAGATTTATGTCTAGTAGTTGGAAATTATATGACGGCGATTTAGTGAAGGAGGACTTTTGATAAATAAGCGTTGATGTGCCGCGGACACCTATCATCTTGTTAAAAAGGTTGTAAAATAGACGCATAAAATGCCGGCCGTAAAATCGTAACACATGCTGCTTCAAGTCTCTGTTATAAATAATGCAATCAGGGAGATGAAAATCGCGGAATTAAAATGAAACCGCAAAAGCCACAGTAGCGCAAATTGCTGTCTGCGTTACTGGAATAAGATGGACAGCGTAACCTCAAAAAAGTCGCATGCGGTTTTCGCTATGTGCGGCGTCTTTTGATATATCTTTTATTAAAAGAGTTAATGCAACAATGCATATATCCTTTGATTACTTTGTGTTGCCGACCTTAGAGATTATAACGTTCAGTTACTGATAAAGTACATTTTTGTTTCTTTTAGTTGAGTGCCCATTTTTGCACAACCCCTAAAGCTTTACATGTCCAAATTGCAGTATGTTAAGGGTTGATAGACAAAAATAATGATAGTTTTAGTAAGGAGGAGAACAATGGCGATATTTAAATTTTTAATATTACTTTTATTTAATTCCGTTCCGAATAGGTAGATATAGGCATTGTTTAATTAAATACTACAATGGTATAGGTAATACAAGAAAATATGTTATGTACCTATGTAATGTAAAATGTATGGAACATCCAGTAGCTACACCCTTAAAAAGATATATTGTCTATAGTCTATATATGCAAATAAACCAATCATTGTTATCTTAAAATTGTTGAAGGAATTTTTATGGATTGGCAAATTAAAAAAGTTTCGTATTGCGAAGTGCGATTACTTTTTGTGGACTCCAAATATTCCTACATACGTAATTAATATGCGTTTTCCAAGTACGGGGGCTGTAAGTAAACAGCTATACCTAAACATTTTTAGGTGTGACTTTGATGAATGTTTCCTAAGTCACTTCTAAGTAACTAACACTATAATTAGATGTTTGTAACGTATATGACATTAGACGCACAAACTCAGTTCAATATTACTATTATACACGTGACTTATATTGTTTAAATATACGACAAACAGTAGCGGTCCTAAAGTACTTCCATGTGGAACACCCATAATCAAAAATTTTAATCCATACAAAATGTTTTCGTTACAGCTATAATTAGTTACATTTTTTGTTTATTTCAAATTAATACTGCCAAACAATTGCTAGCTAATTATTAATGCGAGCATCAAAATACGTAAGATACACGAATGTTGCTAATGTTTATGTCAGTCTTGATTAACTGCAGTATCTTTCGTATTTTTTATGCGAACCATTTCATGAGCCTTATTGTGTAGTGAATGTGGTTACTATAATACTATTCCTTGAAATGTTTTATATAAACCATACGAAATACACCGTTAAGTAATGAATTCTTTAGCGCATATTCTCAAATGGAAAAAGTAGCTATTGTGCACTTTGTCCGTTCGTTTCTCAAATTACTCTTTGCTGGGAATTTTGATAAATGATACTCTATGGTATCGGGTTTTTAGTCAAAAGTAGTCTTTTAAATCTTTAAACCTTCTAAATGTTAAAAAAAATGTGTACGTAGTTAAGTAGCTAGTTCATAAAACATAATGACCGATATTTTTGCATGCCATACTTGATATCTAAAACAAGTATAAATAAATAAATATAAATTGTGTACAACTCTTGTGCAGATAAAGCGCATTTTTTTGTAACCGAAATAGCTTTTGTTTTGACATCACCAATGGGTATCTTGCAGACGTCTCAATCGCCCTTTGTGAGTACCCTCTTCCTACAATCCGTTCTTGAGGTATAAGGGAATATACCCGATCACGATAAGAGGTCGAGGAGGAGGGTTGGGGTTGGTAGAAATTAATTCGTTGAGACCTTTCATTAGAGTACCTTGAAAGATAAAGGTTGTTCCACTCCCCCCCTCCCCCCTTCCCCCCTTCACCCCGTACTTTGATAAGAGGACAGAAAGAAGGGTAGTAATTGGTAGAAAACGGTTTCTTTCGTTGAGGCCTTTTGTTTAAATACAATGAAAAATAAAATTAATTTTTAACCCCCGCCCCTCAGGCCCCGTCGTTTAACTTGGCACCTCCAAAGGCATGCCTATGCAAAATCTGAGACCAATTGGTTGTCGTATGTAAAAGTTATTCACGTTTTACTTTCAAAAACAGTATCTCAGGAAATAATTCGTGGGGGGGGGGGGCCTTTTAGACAGCGAAATCTAATGGCCGTCTGGCACACCTTCAAGGTATAGGCTACCTACTGCAAAAAATTCCAGGACTCTAGAACCATTTCCCTAGAAGTAGTTCGAAACGGCAGAAGCGAGTCCGGACTGACCAGGGGACGGACGGAAGGACCGACGGACAAAACGCAAACAATAGCAAATTGGTTTTAAATTTTTAAAAAATGCGCTAAAAATAAATAGTTTGAGTATCCAACTAACAGCGCAACAACTAAATGCTTCGTTTGGGAAAGTTCCCAAAAGTTGGGGGTTAACATAGGCTTTTGGGTATGCGTTTTCCGATTTTGCAAGGATTTTCCAAAATTCTTGACGCTAACGGCACACTCCTACACAAAGTTGTGAAATAGACTCGATTTTGATCTGATATCTGATTAAAATAACGTATACAAAATTAGGTTTTTAAAAATTCGAAAAATAATTGCATTTAAGACCAAAATTGTGAATCACGCTGGCACAAATTAAGTGTAAGCCTACCACAGATTTTTTTATCATAACATATATCTAGGACTGCATTGAATATTTCATGGTTAGACCCTCCACTTTTTAAAAATTTTTTATGGCTTACCCGTAATGGCGCTAGCTTTAATTCAAGTGGCGCAATTGAGCTCATAACCAGATGTATCAAGTGGCACAAATACCGGTAGCAAAATGCGTTATGGGGGATTCCGTTCACTTGCCCCCCCCCCCAAATATATTTAAGGATATCCAAAAATCAATAATGGCGCAAAGATATCTTTTTACGGCGCATTTCAGCGCATACCTGAGAGTACAATTTCGTATGAAAAGATGTTAAAAAAAAAGTAAAAAATTTACTAGTTACAAGGGACAAAATACGTACTGGGGGGGGGGGCTACGTTCACTTGGCCCCCCCAAATGTTTTTTCGGATTTCTAAAAAACGATAATGGCGCAAGAGTTATTATCGGTGGCGCATATGAGCGCATAACGAGCGCATTCATTTCAAAATAATACGACTATCAAATCTCTCAGTGGGGGGGGGGGCAAGTTAACGGACCCGCATTTTGCGCTTTGGAAATATTACTACTTGTTGGTATTGGTATTTGGTATCAAAAACTGTGTTTCAAATGTTCAAAAACCTAAGTTTTAATTCATGTTCATGGATTGTTTTCTTTCTGCTCTAAACACGTTGAAATTCTTCGTGCATGGGCTTGTTTGAGAATGAGATTCTTTCTGGTTTCCAATTCGAACCCCACGTGCGGGGTAAAAACCTTTTAGAGTTTAATTCGTTCCTCCTATTAGGGTACCTTATCGAAATTCTTTGCCTCAATGAATAAAAGAGCAACAAAACAACAGTATTCATTTATTAATTAACGAAACGGTTCTTATTGTCTCACAAATTAGTTTTTGGAGACGAAGGAGCTTTGGTATCGTATTAACTAGTAACAGAAAATTGAAATCCTACAGCATTGTAACAAATATACACTATTACTTTCAGCGTCACATAAATTCAATAGCGGATTAGCTTTTTTGACTACGTCTATTCTACTGACCCATTCTTATTTGTAAACTGAATGCCATACAAAACAAGCTAATACCAGTACAAAGCTGTCACTGAAAGTTTAGACACCTGCTGGCTTCCAGTCTATTAAAAGGACATACCGTGGAGAATAATGCATAAATTTTACAATAAATCATTCTTTACCTCCGCGCATGTAATCGATCAAATTCTCAACATAACAACAGTTGTATTAACACCCAAATTATACATAATCACGATATTAAAACAAATAATAAGCAAAGATGGAAAATTGTTTTAAACGCTAACCATCGCCGTTCTTTGTTATTCAAATTAGGCGTCAAACACGTTACGTGTATCCTCAATTTTAAGCTATTTTATAGTACACTGCCTACTTTTTTCCTCCAACTCTTGCCTCATATACATTAATATACGTCTACAAGTCGGCATTATCGTCAAATTAATCCCATCCTTAATACGTTTTATCTCAAACATTTTCGTTAACTTTCTATTGTCCGTGGCCATTTCGAGTTATTAATAATTAAAGATCTCCGTGGGGTTTCCTGGCCTACACCGGCGTTGAAATCGCCGTATTTTCCTATTGACAAATAGAATCGCGGTAATTACAGCGTTCGTTTTTTTTGTTGTAGAAGCATGGGTTTGGCGCTGGGCGAGCTGTTACAAATGAGCGAGGCACCGCATTGTCATAAATTACCGGGCCTAAGTGCCGGACAAGGAAGGATTTGTCAACTCTATCAAGATCATATGTTAGCCGTTGCAAGTGGAGCACACCAGGCGCTACTCGAATGTAGGCATCAGTTTCAACATCGGCGATGGAATTGTTCTGTTTTAGATGAGCTTAATGTTTTTGGACCTGTGACCAGTATACGTAAGTTTCTATTATTCTTATGGTATGCATTTAGGTGGGTGGATTTGAAGATATTGAACGTTTAAAAAGTTACTTTAACGCTAGTGGCTTGGGAACAGATATAGATCCATGTATGGTGTTGAAGTCGAACAGTAAGTTATGATACTATCAAAGTTGCACGAAATGTATCAAATCGGAATCCTATTAGTGCTGTTTTGCATAGCGGTGGTAATTGTGCCCTTTTTGATTTTCCGAAAACTACACGCGTTTATCGTTCAAATACTTATGATTTCTTTACACTCATCACACGTCGTCTCAACAATTTAATTAATTATATCTAACTGGATTGACTGAACTGATTAGAGAATCCTTGATTACCTCGTGCAACCTCTTTTATGCACTTTCCCATTCTACTTATTTCTAGGTACCTACCTCCTTGTTATTGTTTTATCCAATGCAATAGTAAGACAATCGTCATTCCATTTAAAAGAACTAAGTTTTTAGTCTTTGAAATTTTTAAAATTTGGATAGGTAGGATTTCCATAGGTGCTAAAGAACTAATAGAAAGCCCTATTCTTTCTCTATGCACTGGTAGAAATAGGTTAACATAACTACAAACGTTTTCAAAGTTATCGACTGCATAGGCCATTTTTTCAAAATAACTTAAAAACCGTAAATGGTAGATATCGATATGTGAATATCAAAAGAACTGAAATTTCGCATAGAATCCAAAAAAAATAGGAATTTAAAATAACAAAGTTACTAGCTACTTCCGGTATTTCCGGAAGTGCGATCATTTTGAAAATATTTTACATTGATCCGCCATTCAGAAGAACTCCTAAGTACAAATGTTCAAAAACCTACCTATTTCTCTTTCCCAGAAACCTTTAACTAAAGCTCCTAAAAAACACCATGTATACTAACATTAGTGAATTATAAACTTATGCCTAATTAAATTCAAGAATTAATATTTACATCTGATTGTTTCTATGTTCTATTATTATTAACTTTATGAATTTTACCATTATGATCTACTATACTACACCTTTTTTAAGTGTATTTCAGAAACCATCAAATTAATTTCAGAAAATATTAAATGGTAATTCAGATTAGTCAATTGGATTTCAGAAAGTGTTAGTTGTAATTCAGAACACATCGCATGTAATTCAGAATCGTAATTTCATTTTCGGAAAGTGTAAACTGTAATTCGGAGAATATACGAGATTGATTCGAAGCTTGAATTTGGGGTTTCTGTAATGACTAAAGGTTCTATTGTATGTTTAATTACTTATTTTTTGTTACAACTTACACAGCTAGTAACTTGATTGACCATTTTTGACATGTTTTTCCAAAAAAATTTTTGTTTTAACTTGTTTAAAGTGCGTTTTACGCCAGTATGAGCTCCTATCAATGAATTGTGATATTGTTCAATTAATTCTGCTGTAAAATTAGTTTTCAATTCCTTGTGGTGGATTATAAAGTAAGATTTTAAAGTTAACCGCATGTTTGTTACATTTTTCATTATTCATTTTTTAAATCTTGAGAAATCCATAAATTAAATACTACATCATTGCTAAAGAAAAAAGCGCCATGTATTTCTCTCTATTTCTATTTTCTGATGTGTTGTAGCTGCTCCATTGATAGGCTTAGCGGATTTATATTTTAAAGTAAAGTGTGAGGTATGTAAAGATAATAACTCAACATTATTCTTAACACGTATTTTTTTATGGCCACATACTTCTCTTATAGTTCTCATAATTTTCTCCTAAGTTCTCATCGTTTTCACTTCTGGATTAATTTTCCGTTATTATGTATATGGATATTATTTATTTACTACGCAGAACCTGGATGACACCGCATTTTTACATGGACCCAGTGGCGTAGCGTGGGGGGGGGGTGGAGGGACGGTCCTCCCCGGGCGCCATTGTACAAGGGGCGGCAGCGTCATAGCTGCCAATAATATCCTGGGGCGCTTTTCAAAATAGCTAAAAGTAGGAAACAGTAAAAAAATCTTTTAACACTTAAACAATTTTTTTATTTTACATTTTTTACCAGCAAGCAAATGAACCTTTGAATTTGGCAAATTGTTATAATGAAATTATGGAATAAACGAAGTTCCTTAAAAGTTAAAACAAAGTTTGATTCTAAATCCAAACCAAATTCAACAAGCAATTTACAAATTACTATTAATATCGAATCTTTAAGAATTAACTAACATTGGACTACAATTTTCTCGTTCATGGAATGGGTTGATTTTCATAACTTCTAGGCACAGCTAGATAATAGTTCTAATACAGATATCTGCCAGGAAAATGCATTTGGAAATCCGCCGATAGTGAATTCCTTTAGTAAAAGGTAGGGAATTTTTTTATTGGCTATAATGGGCTCGATTAGAGGCAGAGAGTATACAGAGTGGTCGGAGTATAAGCTTGGTAACTACAAAATTTTAATAAATGTAGATTTGTAGGGAAGTTGGTAGTTTCCATTTTAAGTTTAGCAATGATTTGTTATTCGCTATTTGAGTTCTATAGCGTGTTGACCTTTTTATGGTTTCAGGGGCCTTAACTTGTCAGAGATAACAAGAAATAAATGTTATCTTAGTTATTTTTTTCGATGAAATGGTCCATGATTTTCAGTGTACGCTACTGCCTAAGGATGATTTTAGTTGAAATCGGTAGCCCAAAAGGAACCCACTAAAAAAGAACTTTTGAGTAACCTATTATATAATTTAAGTTATTTTAATTAATTTTGCGTCCTCCAAAACCGCTAAATCAGCATCTCCTGTATTGTAAGAATGCATTTCAATAGACAAATACTGCAGTTCGTGCAGTTCGGGGTTAGCTACAGTGATTTTGACGTTCTCTTAAAAAATGGTTCACTTAATTACTAGACTTAGACGCCATTTTGAAAAACGCGTTAATTAATTTCAAAAGGATAGGTAGGGAGTAGTCCGAAAAAAGTTGTTGGGGAGATTCCGTTTTTGCTTTTCATTTTTGCAATTCATAAGACAACAAAAGTTATGGCTATTGCTACTAATAACAGAAATGTTGAAATTTATTTTTAAATTTTCGGGTATACCAAAAGCTTAATAACACTAATTTCCCATGTTAAATCCCTATGTTTCTACCTCGGTTCCTACGTACCGTGCACCACCCGGTATATTTTTCACAGTTTCAATATTATGCCATAACTTTTGATCTAGTAGCCCAATCTTGGAACTGTTTGAAATTATGGATTCTACAGGCCACATTCTATAAGAAATTTTTTTTTTCCGGCCGATCTGAGACAATTTTTTTTCGACTACACCAAAATTTCTCGGGAAAACACTTTTTCGTACTAATTTTGGTGCGCAGAATCCAAAACGATTCGTACTTTTTCGATTAGACGTCTCAATCAAAAGTTATAGACTAGAAACCAATTTCGTAAGAAATTTCAAAGGGCTGTAACTTTTGATTCCAAAAAAAGGTAATTACTCACTGCAACAGTAATTTGGCTGAACGAAATGGTATAATGGAAATTTGACTTGCTATTTGAAGTTTTATAACTTGGTGTTGAGTAGCTACCACTTCTGACAAGAGTCCTCCTAAATCACTTGCAGAAACAAATGGCTATGGAGGGTGTCTCAATAGCTGCCCCACGCTTCCGTATGATGTAATAATTTATATCCTGCGTTTGGTTGCTCAAAATAAAGTTACATAATTCTTCCGCAATAACAAGACGGTCATAATTGCACTGTCACTAAACTGCTTATTAATATTCCATTTGCGATACATTTAGGGCGTGCAACATTTCCTTTTCAGGCGCATTTTTCAGCGATCACGCTTATCTTATCCGTCATCAAAGCGTAATTATCTAATCAATCTGCAATATAAATTGCTTCCTATGTACAAAACGTAGAAACGCAGAACAAATTATGCGCATAATTTATACTCTTCTCATTCTCTACGCTCGATCGTAAAAAAAAATGTCCTTCTGCCGTTAATCCGCAAAATATTATAATTTGCTATGGCTCCGTATTATTTATGACCCATTTGTTCTGGATAACGCAGACGTCATTCGTTAATTATTTGCTTTGCATTAGAAACAATATTTCAATTCTGCATGTATGTGGCTCGAAGCGTCGAATGCAATTCTGAATCGTGATTGGTAATTTTTCACTTTTTGCCCGATTCTTGGTAGTCGTATTGTAATCATGGAATAATAAATTATCTCATAGGTACGCTTGGTGCCTACATCTGCTGTACGGTGCATATGTTTTATGTATGGTAAAAATCGAATAGACGCAGCGCTCGGCAATAGCTTAATAATTTATTTATTGCCACATGCCACTGGGAAAGTTTTCCACTTCAAATATAAGGAGTCAGTTTAGCTTCAGAGGCTGTAGTAAATGGTGTGTTGTGATTTACCACAAACGGTCCCTGAGGAGATCCTTGAGGGACGCCAGAATTTTTAGAACAACCGATTTTTTACGTCTTTCGCGACCGACAAATTAAGGAAACACGGTACCATTTATATTACACAAATAACAGTAAGTTGTAGAACAAATTATAAATCAACTTCTGATGATACGTTGCATAAATTTGCTCATGTTTATATAGAGTAAGTACCCTTATTAGGATTAATAACGTTGGAACAAGTAATTATATATACTTACGATAGTATTACGCATATGTATCAATCACGAGACGTGTAACCACATTTCTGAAATTAGTTCATTTCATTAGTGAGACTGGTTTTTTAGTGGCACAAGCCGCAGATTAATAAAGGACTCACAAAGTTGAGAAAAGATACTGTATCCCTTATTGGAAACTTCGTGAATTAATAGTTCTTCCAATTTTCCTGTAAGTTACATACAAATTTATACTTTTGTGAAATAAGCCCATGATTTAACAGTTTGTACAGTTAATTTTACCACCAGCAATCTGTTTTTAAACGCCCAATCCAGCTTTAGACATTCCCGAATTAACAAGAACAAGAACTTTGCAAATGTGCATAAATATAATTTAGTACCCGAAAGAAGA